GGGAGGGGATGCGTGCCAGCTCAGAACCAGTGGCCGGCCTCCGTGGTTCCCGACCTGCCGTGGCGCGGCCGTCACGCACCCTGGGCCAGAGCTGCGTCTCAGCGCTGCACTGAGCGTCCACTGCTGCAGCGAGGACAATTGCGCTGCTTGCCAGACACCGGGAGAGTGCAGAGAACACCCCTTCACTTGCAGCAGCTTGGGCCCAAGTGGCAGGCAAGCGGGTCCCTCCAGCTGGTGTGAGTGCCCCCCCTTTCTTGGCCCCTTCACCAGGGGGAGACCAGCTGCCCCACTCGGCTTTCTTTTTTCTTTTCCTTTCTTTTTTAATATTTTATTGTTTTTTACAGAGAGGAGGAGAGAGGGATAGAGAGTTAGAAACATCGATGAGAGAGGAACATCGATCAGCCGCCTCTTGCACACCCCCTACTGGGGATATGCCCGCAACCAAGGTACATGCCCTTGACCGGAATCGAACCCGGGTCCCTTCAGTCCCCAAGCCGACGCTCTATCCATTGAGCCACACCGGTTTCGGCCTACCCCACTTGGCTTTCAAGACCCAGCTCAGACTCAGGAAGAAGCGGCCCCCCCTCCCCCCTGCCCTGGCTGTGTTCCCATAGCGCTCCGTCCCGTTAGCATCTGCCAGGCTGCATTTGCCTTATCCATTTACCTGTCTCCCTGTCATCGTGAACAGGGACGGTGTCTCGCCCCGGACTCATCATTTATCTCCTGTGCTGAGCACAATGACGGGGACGAAGCGGCTGCTCACTAAATGTTTGTCAAATGAGTGATGGCATGTGACTTCAATGAGAATTGATGGTGCCCCTTCTGGTCTGTCATCCATCATCCACGGAGCGAATTAGGACCGGGAGGCTCTTCTAGGAGCCCCTAGAGGATGGAAGGAGTGGCGGCGGCCGGGCTGGAATGGGGGAGTCGCTGCCCTCTGTGGAGTATTTACCACGGGCAGGTCTCTGCCGCAGGCCTTTTCATTGCGTTAACGCCCTTAGTGCTCAGATCAGCTGCTCAGGTCGTCTGCTGGTTATCCCGGTGGAAAGCTCTGTAACAGCCACCCCCTGCCCTTTTAGCCGGCTCCCGGGAAGAAGGAAGTCCTGAGGGTTAGACATCTATCTTATCTAAGGCTGTGACTGCTTTCTGTATCTCTGGGAGGGTCCTAGGAGGAAGCAGTCACGCTGAGGGGGGTAGAGACGGGGCAGATGGTACTCTGTGCTGAGGTGCCTACGATCTAGGGAGACGTTCAGAGGGTCCGGTCACGTCACAGCATCAGCGGGGTGCAGGGATGACTGTCCAACTCTGAGCTCGGTCCCATCCCGGGCAGTTGGCTGCCGCCAAGGAGGCCCCACTGACAGCCCAAGACCTCCCCGGGCAGGCGTCCGAGAACCACCCGTTTGTAAAGAAGTAGAACCCGCCCTCGCCTGTTGGGCTCATGCCCGGGTGGCAGGCTCGATCCCCAGGTGTTTCTGTGTCTCTTTTCCTCTCCCTTCCTCTCTGAAATCAATTTTTAAAAAATGTATATATTTTTAAAAATCAGAATACCTACAGGGAACTGCAAGCCATCTGGTAAAAACAGACAGCCTGAAGGCAGGAGGGGGCGTGGTGGGAATGGGACTCGCCCTGGGGTCTTTGGAGATTTTCAGGAGTGAGGGGATCAGATCAGATTCTGGAATGTGCTCTGACAACAGGGTGGAAACTGAGTTGGAGGAAAAGAGCCCAGGATCAGGCCGGACGGAAGGAGGCCAGCTCCTGTCTTCACAGGCGGTGGGCGGGAGAGAAGGCGGCCACAGAGCCGGTACCCGATGCCAGCGGGACCGAGGGAGAGAGGATCAAGGACGCCCGGGTGTCTAGCCCCAGCACCGGGGGTTCATTTAAAGGAGAGCGAGGATGGCAGAAGCAGCAGGTTTCAAGGGGAACAGAGAGCAATTAAATTTTTAGACAAGATAAGTGACGGTGCCTGAGGAAACCTAGTAAAAACGACCTAAATGCATTTGATGCCAAGTCTTCCGCTCTGGTTAGAAAATAAGACGTTCCATCCTTTTTTTTTTTTAATATATTTTATTGATTTTGTACAGAGAAGAAGGGAGAGAGATAGTTAGAAACATCGATGAGAGAGAGTCATCGATCAGCTGCCTCTTGCACGCCCCCTACTGGGGATGTGCCCGCAACCAGGGTACATGCCCTTGACCGGAATCGAACCCGGGACCTTTCAGTCCCCAAGCCAACACTCTATCCATTGAGCCAAACCGGTTTCGGCAAGACGTTCCATCTTTAAGAGATTAGGAATTTTTTCCTTTAGGTTAATGCTAACCACCACCATGTTGTCTACCTGCCCGAGGATGCCCTCTTCCACATGCCTTCCCCCACAAGACACATGAGGCTTGCTCAGTCCTCACTCGGGGTTCTACTTTTTCTTTTCTTTTTCTTTTTTAATATATATTTTATTGATTTTTAAAAATATATTTTATTGATATTTTACAGAGAGGAAGGGAGAGGGATAGAGAGTTAGAAACATCCATGAGAGAGAAACATCTATCAGCTGCCTCCTGCACACCCCACACTGGGGATGTGCCCGCAACCAAGGTACATGCCCTTGACTGGAATCGAACCTGCGATCCTTCAGTCCGCAGGCCGACGCCTTATCCACTGAGCCGGACCAGCTAGCTAGGGCCGTAAGTTAAAAATCCAAGCAGGGCCGAAACCGGTTTGGCTCAGTGGATAGAGCGTCGGCTTGGGGACTGAAAGGTCCTGGGTTCGATTCCGGTCAAGGGCATGTACCTTGGTTGCGGGCAACATCCCCAGTAGGGGGTGTGCAAGGGGCAGCTGATCGATGATTCTCTCTCATCGATGTTTCTAACTCTCTATCTCTCTCTCTCTCTTCCTCTCTGTATAAAATCAATAAAATATATTTAAAAAAAAAAAAAATCCAAGCAGGACATCTTGAATCAGTGTGAGAACAAAGACATGGGTCTCTGCATTCAACAGGGACAGTCTTGCATTTTGAAAGCAAAGAAATAGGAAGGAATACAAGAAAACCGCATTAATGCGGTATTATGCTTGAGAACTTAAACTCCCAAGTCAGGACATTCCCTCGTCATCCATTCCCTATGCAGCTTCCTTCAGATGCCCGAGCATTCTCTCTGCAGCCCCTCTGTGCCATGCCGTGGTGCCGTGGTGCCATGCCGACCGTGCCGTATCCCTTCCTGGCCACGGCTGTGCATTAGGGAGGATTTGGAATTACTTTGATCTTGGCCCTTGGGTGTTTAACTTCTCCAAGCTAATGCCTGGATTTTTTTTTTATTTTTTATTGTTCTATTATCTTGTAGCAAGGTAGTCATTTATAATTTATATACTGTGTACCGGCTTAAAATAGAGACAAGAGAATGATCAGCGTCTCGAAGCTTCTGGTTTTCCAAAATAACATTTCTCCGGGGGCCGTCTGCCTGGAGGAACTGAAACCTGCCGAGCGTTGAAAAGCCCTTTGTCCTGTTGTCAGACAGGGACGCGCTGTGCCGGCGAGTGGTGTGAAGCCCTACCAAGGGGGAGAGGGATCATTTTTTTTTATTTTTTTTTTATGTCATTTGATTTTATTCCCTGCGAAATAATTTCTAAAGACGGCAGCCTCAGGTCGGGTCTCGGGGGGCCTCGCTGAAGTCACAGGGAGGGGCCAAGGGCAGAGCGGGAAGGACGGATGGGAGACACGGCCCCGGCCAAGGACAGCGGCTCGGACGCAGCCAGCCACTTGTCTGCTGCGGTTTGGAGTCCTTCCAGCCGGGCTGCCACTTGGCTCTGCCATTGTCCTGCGGGCCGGGGAGAGGGACGGCCTCACAGAGAACACGCTGTCCATTCACAGATATTAAAAATAGAAGCCTCCGTGAGAAGCCCCCTGTAACGCAGGGCTTAGCCAAAGCCAATCGGATATCAGAGGCCTGTCTTACTTCTTTCCTCTTTGCTTTTATACCAAGTCGTCTAAACCCTAATTATTCCCTCCTTCCTTTTCATGATGCACCTTTAGAGTGCCGGGAACTGGGGAGAGATTTCTTTTTTATTTATTTACTTATTATTATTATCATTTTATTTTATTTTATTTTAGAGAGGAAGAAAGAGGGAGAGAGAAACATCCATGATGAGAGAGAATCATCGATTGGCTGCCACCTGCTTGCCCCACATTGGGGGTCAAAGCCCACAGCCTGGGCAGGTTTCCTGACCGGGAGCCGAACCTTGGGCCTCCTGGTTCATAGGTCGACGCTCAACCACTGAGCAACACCGGCCGGGCCTGGGTGGAGATGTCTAGTGAGGGCGGACAGAGAGCTGGGTCTGCAGTCAAGTGGTCTTGTTCTGGCGTCCGGCGACGCTGTCATTGAGTCCCAAGATCATTCTCACTCTGCCCCCTGTGCTGTGATGTGTCTCACACGCTCAGGACTGTCCCTGGGGAACATGTGAATGCCCACCTGGGACCTGGGGGCCCTTGGGGGAGGGGGTGAGCCGCGGCCCACGGGCAGTTTGGGAACAAGCTGGGTGATTTAGCTCGAAAGCCACCAGGTGGCAACATTCACTAAACCGCCGGGCATTTTCTTTCCCCACGAAGACGGGGAGCTTGATTTTCCAGCTGCGAGACTGGACGGCTGCTGTGAGGCCAGGGTCAGCCGCCATCGCTCAGGTCCTCGTCGGTCTCCGCTCGTCTCCCGGTTCAGACGCTGAGAGTCTGACATTGCTCCGTGCGGGCAAGCGGCCTCCCCTTTGGCCTCCGTTCCACATCGCGATCGGGGTGGACAGACTCGTCTCTCGCGTTGTTTTTCTCCAGGATTTATGACTTCGGTTACCTTTTCCTAGGTCGCTTTAAAAAAAAAAAGTTCTGGTCAAACCAGCCTTTACATTTTTTCTATCCACTCATCTGCTGAGGGGCACACTGGGCTGTTTCCAGACGTTAGCTGCTGTGAAGAACGCTGGCCCCCAACGTGTTTTTTTTTTTTCCTTCTCCTCTTGGTTCGCAGATGAAGTGGAAGGGGAAGGACCTGTTTGACCTGGTGTGCCGGACGCTGGGGCTGCGGGAGACCTGGTTCTTTGGGCTGCAGTACACCATCAAGGACACCGTGGCCTGGCTCAAAACCGACAAGAAGGTTGGGCCGGACGTAGATGGAACCCGAGGGGCCGGTGTGCGCGCCGGCTCCCGCCTGAGCGTGGGCCCAGCGTGTCTGCTCACCGCGGGGCTGGGGGGTCCAGGGCAGAGAAGGGGGCGAATAGACGTCGTTGAAAGGTTTCCTTGGGGCTCGTGTGCTTTATGAGATTTCTTTTTCTTTTTCTTTTTTTTTATTTTTTTGTTTTTTAAAAATATATTTTGATTGATTTCAGAGAGGAAAGGACAGAGAGAGAGAGATAGAAACGTCCATGATGAGAATCATTGATTGGCTGCCTCCTGCACGCCCCCCCTCTGGGGGCGTCAGGAAGTCAGCTGTGACCCACGTTAACGGGGACTGGGAGCCCGTCACAGGGCGCGTTTACGGCCTGGAGGGAAACTGTTCTGGAGAGCAGATGGCGCAGGCCTTTCGGGGGGGGGGGGGGGGGGGTGAGGGGGGGGGGGTTGCCGGAAGATGAAAGGCGTGCGGCTTACTGCCTGCGCCCAAGTGCTCTCTGTGGGGCGGCTCTGAGGTTCCTGGAAACACAGGGTCGCCACGGGGGACAGTGTCACGTCTCCCGCTTCGCTGGTGTTCAGCCGATTTGACAGAGATGTAGTTCATCGCCCTAAGCTCCATTCCAGCACGGACCTAAATGGTGGGGGCTGTTGGCAGCAAGAAAAGGGAGTAAAGGACTATCCCACTACTTTCAAAAAAATTAGAAAAAACATTTCGCCTGCCAGAAAGGGCAGTAGCCCAGGACCCGAGACCTGTGTGGCCTGGAGAACATTTGTGCCTTAATCTCTCCTCACCCCGTGGGCACACAGTCATTAGCTTGCTTCAGACAGGCCATTGGAAGTCATACTTCTTGTTAATCACAACCTCTGGGAAGTGTGATGAATTTGTGACTTTTTATTTTTTATTTATTTTATTTATTTATTTTTTAAATAAATATGTTTTATTGATTTTTTTACAGAGAGGGAGAGAGAGAGAGAGCTAGAAATGTCGATGAGAGAGAAACATTGACCAGCTGCCTCTTGCACACCCCCCACCAGGGATGTGCCCGCAACCAATGTACATGCCCTTGACCGGAATCGAACCTGGGACCTTTCAGTCCGCAGACGGACACTCTACCGTTGAGCCAAACCGGTTTCGGCGAATTTATGACTTTTTAAAAATACATGTTTATTGATTTCGGACAGGAAGGGAGAGAAAGAGAGAGAAACCTCCATGATGAGAGGAGAGTCATGGATCGGCTGCCTCCTGCGCGCCCCCTACTGGGGATCGAGCCCGCCACCTGGGCCTGTGCCCCTGCCTGGGAATTGAACCGGGACCTCCTGGTTCATAGGTTGACACTCAACCACTGAGCCACACCGGCTGGACACGTGATGAATTTAGAGGGGAGAATATTTGTACGCTCCTGCGAGAGGTTCTTCGGTGGGGGTACGGGGGCGGGGGTGGGGAGAGATGCCAACGTCGCCGGGCTGTCTTCTGCTCTGCGGTCTGCAGGTGCTGGATCACGATGTCTCCAAGGAGGAGCCGGTCACCTTTCACTTCCTGGCCAAGTTCTACCCCGAGAACGCCGAGGAGGAGCTGGTGCAGGAGATCACGCAGCATCTGTTCTTCCTGCAGGTGCGGTGGTCCGTGGTCCCCCGGGCTCCCGGACGCTCCTCGGGCTCCGGGACGCTCCTCGGGCGGGGCGCAGAGGCGGTAACGGGCCTGCGGGAGGAAGACTGTCCGCGGTGGCGGCGCCAGAGCTGACCCCGAGGCCTCACGTGGTGACAAGGTCCCGCCCCCAGAAAGCCGGTCCTTTCGGTTCTGAAATGGACCACGCCTTTAGGATAGGAGGAGGTTTTTTAAAAATTAAATATATTTTATTGATTTTTTTACAGAGAGGAAGGGAGAGGGATAGAGAGTCAGAAACATCGATGAGAGAAGCATCGATCAGCTGCCTCCTGCACATCCCCTACTAGGGATGTGCCTGCAACCAAGGCACATGCCCTGGAACCGAAGTTGGGACCCTTTGGTCCGTCCTCAGGCCGATGCTCTGTCCACTGAGCCACGCTCGGTTCATCTCGGTTGTCACCATGAAGACGGTCTCGCCTCCTCAGCACTTGATCGGGAGCAGAAGCGATGAGGGGGGTTCAGGCATGGCCGTCTCACCAGTGGCTTCTCCACCTGAGCTCCCCCCCTGTCTGCAGCAATAAAATAAAATAAAATAAAATAAAAATCGTACCCTCTGTCAGCGGCATTGGCAGGCGGCCTCATCGGGATGCCCGGCGGCCGTCCGCCGTGGCCAGCGGCGCGGCTCATGGCCATGTCCCCTGTCGCCTTCCAGGTGAAGAAGCAGATCTTGGATGAGAAGATCTACTGCCCGCCCGAGGCCTCTGTGCTGCTGGCTTCCTACGCCGTCCAGGCCAAGGTGGGCTCCCAGCAGAGGACTCGCACCAGTCGCCTGCTTCTTGGGTTTTCCAGACTTCAGGGAGGCTCTCCGCAGCTGGGGGGTGGGGAACCCAGTCTCACTCCTGTATGAGCCCATGAGCATGTGTGTGTACAAGTAAGTGTGTGTGTGTGTGTGTGTGTGTGTGTACAAGTAAGTGTGTGAGTGTGTGTGTGTGTGTGTACAAGTAAGTGTGTGTGTGTACAAGTAAGTGTGTGTGTGTACAAGTAAGTGTGTGTGTGTGTGTATGTGTACAAGTAAGTGTGTGTGTGTGTACAAGTAAGTGTGTGTGTGTGTACAAGTAAGTGTGTGTGTGTGTATGTGTACAAGTAAGTGTGTGTGTGTGTACAAGTAAGTGTGTGTGTATGTGTACAACTAAGTGTGTAGCTTGATAACTTTTCTTTGTGATCTCATTGTGCACGCATGGTTCCTTACACTTACTGAACCAACCTCTCCTTTTTTTTTTCTTTTTCTTTATTTTAAAATGTTTTTGTTGATTTTAAAGATGAAGGGAGAGGGGGAGAGAGAGAAAGAGAGAGAGAGAGAGAGAGAGAGAGAGAGACATCAATGATGAGAGAGAAACATCGATCAGCTGCCTCCTGCACACCCATTACTGCGGATGTGCCCACAGCCAAGGTACATGCCCTTGACCGGAATCGGACCCGGGACCCTTCAGTCCGCAGGCTGACGCTCTACCCACTGAGCCACACCGGTTACGGCAGAATTGGGGCATCCTGATGCCTGTTGTGATTTTTATATCATCTTTTGCTAGTATTTTCCTTTGCAGTTGGAGGTGTCTGTCCCCTAATGCCACATCCCTGCAGCGCTACCAAAACGAATAAAACGATCTTCACTTCTTAGCCTGCTTTTCCTGACATAGCTTCATGCGATGTCAGGTCAGAGTCAGGAGGTAACCGGTTAGCCTGTCACTTGGAGGAGAAAGGAGCCTGTACCTGCTAGTCAGACCGACGAGCCCGGGAGTCATTGGATGACGCCTGGGCTGGCGCCTGGGCTGACGCCTGGGCTGACGGTGGCAGGGAGCTCACGCCCCGAACCAGTGGGTGTTGATTCTGTCGCAGTACAGACTACGCCGTGTGCCCAAGGTCATCCGGGCAATCTTGGGGTAAAGCTAACGGCAGAATTCATGGCCCTGGGATTACATTTTGTGCCGCCCCCTATTCCACTGCCCAGATAAATGAGTCATTGAGGGAAAGAAAAGAGAAAAAAAAAAAAAAAAGGCCCACAGAAAATGGGCCTTGATTCAACGAGGACATATGCTTCCTTTTATGCTTTGATTAAGAATATTAATAACAGGAAAATGTGCCCTTTCAGTCAGCATCACCCTGACGGCGATGAAGCAGTCATTGTCGCCCTCATTAATCCGAGCACTTCCTGGCCCGGAACGGAGTTCCTGTTTAGCACGCTCTCTCCCCAGCTGAGCGGAGGCCCGGCTCACGGACACCCCCTCTCTCCTTACAGGGCTTCCATCTCACAGGCTGCCTTTTCTGTGTGTGGATTTTGGGCCACACGTTCAAAGGCCGTGTGTGTGTGTGTGTGTGTGTGTGTGTGTGTGTGTGTGTGTGTGTTTGTGGGGGGAGGGGACTTGGAGCCAGCAGATGTTTGCTTAAACAGATTTCACCGGGAAAGCCCTCCTCATTTAGAGATGAAAGTGGTTCACAGAGCACATATGTGGCTCATATGGAGGAGGATGTTCTGTGTGGTTTTTTTTGTTTGTTTGTTTTTCTTTCTGGTGTAAATTCTCGGGAATCTCACAAATAAAGCAATTAAGAAGTTGGGTGTATGTAAGATACATGGAAAGCAGTGGTTCTCAGCCTTTCTAATGCCGAGACCCTTTCATACGGCTCCTCATGTTGTGGTGACCCCCAACCATAACATTATTTTCGTTGCTACTTCACAACTGTCATTGTGCTGCTGTTAGGAACCGTAATGTAAATATCTGTGTTTTCCGATGGTCTTAGGCGACCCTGCTAGCGGTTCTCAACCTGTGGATCCTGTGCATGTAAATTTTATCTCAATTAAAAAAAATAGGTGTGGCCACATTGTCCTCCAGCGTGACTTCTAAGAACTGCCTGTCCTCCACATCCTCATCCCCGTCTGCTAATGTGACAGAAAAAAAATATAGATTTTTCAGAGTTTTCATTTCCTTGCTGACCGGTTGGAGCTGAGCGTCTTTTCACAGATTTACTTTCCTCTGTGAGGCTGGTGCTTATGATCTGCCCGTTTTTCTCCTCTACAGTTTATCTTTTCCTCTTTGATTTATAGGAGCTCCGTTTACAATGGGTGTTAACCTTTTATCTTTTTTTTTTTTTTTTAACGTGTCAGACTGTCAATCTCTTGCTGTCTTGAGTGACTTTTTAGAATGGCTTTACCCACCATTATTATACACATGTCCGTCTACATTTCGTCCTGGTGTTTTGATGCTTTTCACTGATGGTTTAAGGCTTCCATCTATCTGTGATCTAGTGACGGAGGTGCGTGCGGTAGGGATCTGATTATCTATGCGATATGTGTACTGATGAAATCTTTTATGTTTTGTGAGATCCCGTTCGGAGCATTTTGTCTGATTTTCCATGCAGACAGGCAGGGGAGAGCATTTAACCTCCGGAAGGACGTTCAGTATCTGCTTCACGTAGGCATTGACTCCCAGAACCCCATGCATGCTACACTCCTGTCTTGAATTTAAATTCGGTTGGCTTATAATCAGGGGTGGATCCAGGTTTTGTGCGGCCTGAAGTTTCTATAACTTCAGGAGTTTTGTTTTGTTTTGTTTTGTTTTGTTTTTTTCAACCCAAGAATACTAATGATGCGTATAAAGCTGGGCACGGAGCCTTGAAACCCCAAACTCGGTCCCTAGCTACCGTCTCGGGATGCGATGCTTTTGGACATAAAAGGCGGAGGACAGCCAGCTCAACCTGTGCCGCCCTGACTCCCTTTATCTCTGCCAGCTGCCACAGCCTAAGGATTTTCTTCTTCTTTTGTTTCTTAAAGGCTCATTATAGAGCCGATGCACACATCCAGGCGGCTTTCATGTGGCAAGTGGAGTCAGCCCGGGCTCTGTCAGCGGCCCCTTTCTGCCTCCGCACAGCTCGCACGTAACCTATTTGATCGGTGGAGTCGCCGGGAGCTCAGTATGATAATGTGGGTCGTTAATCTTAGGAGCCTCTGGAACCTGGATTTACGGCCTGCACTCTGCATATCTGCTTACTTGTGCACTACTGCCCGGCCAGCGCTCCCGAGAGGCATGCAAATGCGGGGGGGCCTCCTGCCCCTGGGAAACCTGCCGGTCTGGCTCAGTGGGTGGAGCGTGGGCCAGGGCCGCATGCCGGGCTGCGGGCCCGATCACCCACTGGGTGAGTGGAAGATGGCCGGTCAGTGATTCTCTCTCATCATTGATCTTTCTTTCTTTCTTTTTCAAATATATTTTATTTATTTTAGAGAAGAAGGTTTCGGCTCAGCCTTTCTTTTGTCTCCCCCTTGTTAGTGGCTGCACGGATACACGTTTACAGAAGATTGTCCTGAAACACCGAGCTTGGTGGGTTTGGTCCCAAGGAAAGCCACCGAATGCTGATTGACGAGAGACAGGCTTTGGTTTTTATATTCTCTAGGTTTCCTAGTTCGTTCCTGTTTTAAAATGCTATCATTTCTCTTTATCATCATTATTATCTCCTGGGCAGACTGACAGTGCCTTGAGAAAGAAAAGATTATCTTGCTTCCATCGGAGAGTAAATCTCCAGGTCCGGCCCTCCGGGGCCTGCTCTGCGGCTTTCCCTCGTGTCTTTGTCCGGGTGACACACGTGAGTGACAGCACTGGCGTCGCATCTTCCCCGAGCGGTTTTTTTTTTTTTTCAGAGCCTTGAGTGAAAGGCATTAAACAGGCTGCCGGCCACTTAGCAGCCATCGGCAGGGACAGGCCCTATCATAAAGCCACGGTCGCGTCTCGTTGCTTTATTTCCGCTGCTTTCTCTGCCGGTTTAGAAACCACGGCCCCCTCTCCCTGCGAATGTCACATTTTCATTAGCGCGGCGCCCGCAGGGGCTGCGCAGCCGCGTCCAGAGATGTAATCAGCTCCGAATTTCCATTCGGGCATCACACGCCAGCAAGGTTGAAATCTTGACTTGTCATCGGGATTGGATTGCTCCCTGGAGCCGGGAGGGAATTGAGCCGGGAGTCCAGCTGTTTGGAAAATGACAGTTGTCTCTCGCATCTCAACCGTCCGCTCTCCCTCTCGTCTCTCCGCAGTACGGCGACTACGACCCCTCTGTGCACAAGCGGGGATTTCTGGCCCAAGAGGAATTGCTTCCGAAAAGGGTGAGGCATCCCGTTCCCTGTTTGGGGGGTGATCTCAACCGAAGAGCTTGAAGGAATAACGGAAGGACATGGCAAGAAAGTTATTACAGATGTTTTGTCATCATTCTTTGTTTTTCATTTAACCAATATATTTAGCCATAACTGGCTTAGTTCAGTGGATAGAGCGTCAGCCTGCGGACTGAAGGGTCCCAGGTTCAATTCCAGCCAAGGGCATATGCCTGGGTTGTGGCTCGGTCCCCAGTAGGGGGTTGCAGGAGGCAGCCAATCCATGGTTCTCTCTCATCATTGATGTTTCTATCTCTCCTCCCTTGCTCTCTGAAATCAATAAAAAATTATATTTTTAAAAAAAATATATATATATATTTTTATTGATTTCAGAGAGGAAGGGAGAGGGAGAGGGAGGTAGAAACATGAATGATGAGAGAGCATTATTGATCGGCTGCCTACTGCGTATCCCCGACTGGGGATCGAACCCACAACCCGGGCCTGTGTCCTGACCGGGAATCGAACCGTGACCTCCTGGTTCATAGGTTGACACTCAATCACTGAGCCACGCTGACTGGGATGTAATCGATCTTGAGTGAAGAGTACAGAATCTGTTAAGAATATTAAAAAAGGAAAGGTTCATGGAATGAGTTTGGGGCTGCCAGGACTCACATGGCCTGCAAACGGTCCTTCCCCCCCCCCAAAAAAAATATATTTTTATTGACTTCAGAGAGGAAGGGAGAGAGGCAGAGAGATAGAAACATCAGTGATGAGAGAGAACCATCCATTGATTGGCTGTCTCCCATCAAGCCCATAACTCGGGCCTGTGCTCCTGGCTGGAATCGAACCTGGGACCCTTCAGTCCACAGGCCGACGCTCTATCCACTGAGCCAAACCGGTCAGGGCAGGGTGGCTTTTTGAAAATAGCCGTGCTGTTCTGTCCAAGTGATGCGTCATGATAAACACGGCACACAATACCGAACCTCCGTGTGTGTATGTGTGTTTATGTGTGTTTATACTGCCCTCTCTTCCGCCAGGTAATAAATCTGTATCAGATGACTCCAGAAATGTGGGAGGAGCGGATCACAGCCTGGTACGCGGAGCACCGAGGCCGGGCCAGGTAAGGCAGCTTCCTTTTCGATTTATATTCCTTTATGGGCTTTTTTATTTTTTAACAAACTACAAAGCTAGGACGTGCTTGTTGAACAACGTGCATTGCTGGAGTATCTGAAAGAAGAGAGAAAGCTGGGAGTATGTTCGGTTTGGTAGGAATCCTTTTCCCAGCGCCTGTGAGCCAGGAACTTCCCGCCGCCCGGGTGTACGGGCCTGTGTTTGCTGGTGATTTCGTCCCCTTTTGAGAATTCCACCGTAGAGAGACACCCCACAGCGTTTGTGCTGATTTCTCTGCCGGTGGCATGTGGAGCAGCTAGAGGCTTCTCACTTTTACAAAACGTGCTGCGGCGTGCACCGTGTTACATAACCGTCTGCACGATTCGCCCGTGGATTGCTTAGAGGAGCTGCTGAGTCAGAGGGTGCATTCTGAGATTTGACAGGCGCCACCAGATTGCCCCCCCAAAGCGGTGGTACCTGTTCACATGCCCATCAGCAGTGTGTGAGTGTCTCCACGCCGCCCCCCCATGCTGTCCCCAACACCTATTTTTGTTCTTTAATTATTTTGATTGATTTTAGAGAAGAGAGGAGAGGAGAGGAGAGGGATAGAGAGAGATAGAAACATCAGTGATGAGAGAGAATCATTGATCAGCTGCCTCCTGCATGTCCCCTACTGGGGATCGAGTCTGCAACCTGGGAATGTACCCTTGACCGGAATCAAACCCGGGACCCTTCAGTTCACAAGCCGACGCTCTGTCCACTGAGCCAGACCAGCCGGGGCTGCTCCCTTCTGTGGACGCGGAGGGGAGGTGTAGCATAGACTCCATGTCGGGAAGAGCATCGCTGGGCGCTGCTCTGACTCCCTTGAGCACCCAGCGTGGTGAGCGCCTGCTCCAGCTTCCGCTCAGCCCCTGTCCTCCCTGCCCCACAGGGACGAGGCGGAGATGGAGTATTTGAAGATCGCGCAGGACCTGGAGATGTATGGCGTGAACTACTTCGCCATCCGGGTACGTGAAGCTTCTCCGAGTTCCCCGCGTGCAGACAGACAGACCCGGGGCCCACAGCGGACACGGTTCCTCTCTCACTCTGGGCCGGAGGCTCTTTTTTGTTTTTGTTTTTTAAAATATATTTTTATTGACTTCAGAGAGGAAGGGAGAGGGAAAGAGAGAGAAACATCAATGATGAGAGCGAATCATCCATCGGCTGCCTCCTGCACTCCCCCCACTGGGGATGCGCCCGCAGCCAAGGCGCACGCCCTTCCTGGCCGTGGGAACCGGGGGTGGGGGTGGGGGTGGGACCTGACGGGGCCGCTCTGTGGAATCCATAGAACAAGAAGGGCACGGAGCTGCTGCTCGGCGTGGATGCGCTGGGGCTTCACATCTACGACCCCGAGAACAGGCTGACCCCCAAGATCTCCTTCCCGTGGAACGAGATCCGAAACATCTCCTACAGCGACAAGGAGGTAGGGCAGCTGCACCGGGGCCTGGCCACAGGCCTGCCTTCCCCAGCCCTTCCTGGCTGCGGGGTCCCCAGGCCCCCTACCCCACCTCCCCTCCTGGCTGCAGGATCCCCAGGCCTCCTCCCCCACCTCCCCTCCTGGCTGCGGGGTCCCCAGGCCTCCTCCCCCACCTCCCCTCCTGGCTGCGGGGTCCCCAGGCCTCCTCCCCCACCCCCCCTCCTGGCTGCGGGGTCCCCAGGCCCCCTCCCCCACCTCCCCTCCTGGCTGCGGGGTCCCCTACTGGGGATCGAGTCTGCAACCTGGACCTCCTGTTGCAGGAAAGTCATTTCATGCTCAGGCTGTGGTGTTAGGTTATGGATTTCTATAGCATTCACAGGATAGTATTGGCATTCTATTTTCAAAGAGCATCCCTCCACTCCCTCCCCTGCCCTGCCCTGCCCCACCCTGCTGACGAACAGCCTGTCGCCCTGGGAGCTCAGCCCGTCAGCACTGAGCCCCAAAGGACAAGCAGTAATCCAACCCCAAACATAACCATTTCTATGGATTGGCTTTCTGTTTTTGGTGAGAAATTCTCTTTGCCCTTTAAGTGTGATAGATATTAAAATCTTTCTCTGTGTCCAGTTTGTACGTATGGTGGGGGTGTGAGTGTGTGTGTGTGTGTGTGTGAGAGAGAGAGAGAGAGAGAGAGAGAGAGAGAGAGAGAGAAAGTATCAACAATAACTAATGATATCAGGCTAACCTGCTTACCAGAAATTGAGGATAATTAGGTGTAAATCACTTTGGTCAACACTCTAAGAATTCTAATACTTATCTACAGCATCTCCCAAACGCTGTAACCCTGCATTCATTGGCTTGTTCACTTATTCACTCTTCGTTCGTTTTAAAGGGATTTCTGAGCATCTGGGAATGAGAGGAGCAGAGGCCCCCAGTTCCTCAGGCGTGGCTGCGATCTGCTTGTTCAGGCTTGACGAGAGACAGATTGGGCTTCTTTTTAAAAATATATATGTTTTTAATTGACGTTAGAGAGGAAGAGAGAGGGAGAAAGAGATAGAAACATCAATAATGAGAGGGAATGATTGATCAGCTGCTTCCTGCACGCCCCACACTGGGATCAAGCCTGCCACCCAGGCATGTGCCCTGACCAGGAATCAACCGTAACCTCCTGGTTCATAGGTTGACACTTAACCACTGAGCCCTGCTGGCCGGGCCAGACTGAGCTTCTTAACTCAAAACATCCTGGCTTTCAAATTTTGGTTAGCAGCCCAGGAGATGAGCATTGAGGGATTTTTTTTTTTTTTTTTAAGTATTAAATGGCAAGCTCCACGTGACTTCAAGCAGTCGGTGTGCCAGGGTAGGGTAGTTTTTCATTTCTACTTTTATGGAGGCTGTTTACTGCTCCACCCACACATGTGTGTGCTAACGGTCCTCCCAGAACCCAAGGATTCAAGTCTCCCTTAGGGTGGCCCGACACCCTAAACCCCGACACCTACCCCCCTCTCCGGGGGCAAGACGCCCTCACGCTCCGTCCCGTCAATAACTCGCACCGTAAGGAGACCCCAGTCCGACTGGATTTACTAGGAAGTAGCCCGAGTAGTTCTGTATGGCAGCCGGGCTGTCGACACAGAAACGTGGTTGGTTTATTTTAAGCGACTCATTGATTCTCCGCGCGGCCCCGGCATGGCACAGAGCGCCCGCGGTCTCCACACAACCCGTGGCTTCCCGCTGACAGCTCCGGGGTTTGACAGCAAGGCCAGAAATAAGCTTTCAAAATTCACCAGCGGGAGCGATACCACTTCTAAATTCACTTGACCAAAAGCTACACACGGAGGATTGTTTTCTGTCCTCGCAGTGCCTAACCCGTTGTTGGGCAAATATAACCTTAGAAAGAAATTCCGGAGAACACATCTCCCCAAACCTTTTTGTCTGCGCCGCAGGTGTTTCTTGGGAATAGATGCCCGTTTTCTTAAGGGCATCTTTGAAATGTAGGATCTGTCTGGTTTCATCAGGAATGGTTGAAAACAACCATTGCCACTTGTTCTTTAAAAAAAAAAATATATATATATATATATATTTCTTACTGATTTCAGAGAATAAGGGAGAGGGAGAGGTAGAGGTAGAAACATCAGTGATGAGAGAGAATCATTGATCGGCTGCCTCCTGTACGCCCCACCCTGGGGATGGAGCCCACAACCCGGGCCTGTGCCCTGACCAGGAATCGAACCGTGACCTCCTGGTTCCTAGGTCAGTGCTCAACCACTGAGCCCCACTGGCCGAGCCATCCTATCTTTTAACTTCTGTACGTATTATTCGCCAGCATAAGTCCCTCCTATTCGTGGTAGATCCACTCTGAATCCCCCAGCACATCTGTGACTTATGCCCCCCAATGAGGTACGGATATGTGATGTTTCTCCTTCAGTAACTGCCTGTGGTTAGTCTAGTTCCACTCGGTTGTGAGCCTGAGTCAGGGCCCTGACTTGAGTCTGGCATGGCTCTCCCCATGTCAGCCCGGAGCTTGGGCCCATCAGGGTTTATATTTCAGGTTTCCAAGCCCACAATGGTGCCGAGAGCACGCCCTTCAGAATCCTCAACTCCCACAGCCCTGGGCTTGGCGTCCTCAGACACCTCTAATCCACCGTGGTTTTGTGCCTGCCCCCCCCCCCCCCCCCCCCCCGCAAGCCATGACCCGGTGCAGCTCCTGCCGGCTCTTTGCCGGGGGGGGGGGGGGGGGGGGGAGGTGCGAGGGCAATGGTGGTGGCCGCTACCGTTGTGCGAGCCCCCGGTTGGTGGGAACATTCCAGGCCATCCAACTGAAACCGTCTCCCACTTCCTTCTTCCAGTTTACCATCAAACCGTTGGATAAGAAAATCGACGTCTTTAAGTTTAACTCCTCAAAGCTCCGTGTTAATAAGCTGGTAAGTTGCGGTGCTGGCTTCTGTGACGATGGCTGGGGTGTTCCTGAGAAACCGAATGCCCTTTTTGAAACTGAACCCACAGCCTCGGCATAGCGGGACCTCACTCCCAGCCAACTGGCCTTCCCGGCCAGGGCGGGAAATTCTTCCCTTTTCATGTGGAAGAAGGGGTCCGTCCTTTCCTTAATCCTTTGTGTCTTGCTTGACATCTTTCCTTATCCTGGGATCATAAAGACGTTCTTCTTCTTTTTTGTAAATATTTCTTTATTGATTCCAGAGAGGCAGGGAGAGGGGAGAGAGAGATAGAAACATCAATGATGAGAGAGAATCATTGATCGGCCGCCTCCTGCACGCCCCCTTCTGGGGATCCAGCCGGAAACCCAGGCATGTGCCCTTGGCCGGAATCGAACCCGGGACCCTGTGGGCTTACCGTCTCTCCCGCTCCCGCGGCCACAGATCCTGCAGCTGTGCATTGGGAACCATGACCTCTTCATGAGGAGGAGGAAGGCCGACTCTTTGGAAGTCCAGCAGATGAAAGCCCAGGCCCGGGAGGAGAAAGCCAGGAAGCAGGTGAGGGAGACCACGTTCGGGCTGCTCTCATCCCGGCGGCCCTGGCCCAGGGGGAAGGCGTGGTTCCAGGGTCCTCTGGTCATGGATGACGGGTACTCTTCTTTTATTGATTTCAGAGAGAGAGAGAGAGAGAGAGAGAGAGAGAGAGAGAAACATTAATGATGAGAGAGAACCACGGATTGGTTGCCTCTTGCATGCCACACACTGGGGATGGAGCCCGCAACCTGGGCATGTGCCCTGACTGGGATTCGAACCGTGATCTCCTGGTTCCTAGGTCATCGCTCAACTACTGAGCCACGCCAGCTGGGCGATGAAGGGGACTCTTATTTTATCTCTTTTGAGTCTTGGCTGATGCCAGCCGGTGGGGTGTCAGCTCTGGAGTTGAGGAATAAACTCCAGTCTCGTATCCGAAGGAAACATCTCCAGTTACTTCTCCATTCGGGTGACGTGGGAAGAAATAGCCAAGCCTGCCTGTCCCGCCCATGCATCCGTCTCTCCTCTGTCCAGCTGAGCTTCCTCTCGCCTGCTCCTTTTCTAATTAGGCGGTGATGGAATGCATGGCAGCGTTTCCGTGCCGCCGCTGGAATGCTAATTAGCCTCTGGCTGCACTACCCGCCTCGGTCAGCCCGGGCGCCCAGCGCCCACCCCGGGAGGTGCGGGGAGCCCCCATCAGCAGACCGGACGGTCTGCATCCCTGTTTCCTGCCCATAGACCTTCTCGACTCCCCGAATCCCACACCCCTGGCCCGAGCCTCGCAGCGAGAATATTAATTGTGGTTCTGGGCGGACTGATAGACAGAGGAGCAGCAGCTGCAGACGGATGCCCACAGGACTCGCGGGCTCGGAGGTGTAATAATTAGTCTGCGTGCAGCTGTCTCTGATTTGGGTCCTCGGGCGCGCCTGGCTCCCCGCCAGCAGCTGCAGGATGCGATGCCCCGTTTGATCCAGTGCTTCCAGCGCTCCATCGCTTAGCTCCCCGAGGTGGCCGGCCGTCCCCGAGGTGCCCTGGGGATGCTTTACGGGGGGCAGGCACGAGGAGTGGAATGGGTTTTGTTGGACGAAGGGAGACTCCTGAGCCAGCATAGGATCCTAGTGGGAGCTTTGAGAAGAAAAGTGACCTCTGACCCCTTTGTCAGCAGAGCAGAGGTCAGAAGTGAGAGATCTGGAAACGACAAGGTGCATGCGTGCAGGGCCTCCTGGCCGAGGCAGAGAATAGCGTGGACACTGTTCTCCACCCCCCCATCCCACCACCCCAGCCTCCCCTGGCATCTGGCAACTGCGGGTCAGGGGCTGTGCTGCCCCCCTGCAGGCACTGACCTCGGGGCCGGCTGGAAACTTAGGATGTGAGGCGAGCGGATGCTCTGACTCCAGGTCCCCGTGCTCCCCTCTCACGCCCCCGATCGAAGGACACGGCGAGCTTGACCCACTTGGCCGCCGGAGGCCCCTCATTACCGGGGCGGAGGCCTCGGGAAGGGGCGGGCTGGGAATGGAAGGGGCCGGCCCCGATTTTCTCAGGTGGCGGGTAATGGACAAGCCGCTAGCCGCCGAGTGGAAGTCGGTCATGTGATGGAATTGGAGCTCACACCGGCCAAGCTTCCCATCGACCTGTCGGAGGAAAATGGGGAGAATTTACAGGGTTTTAGTGCTTGTCTTTGCATTATTCCTCCGAGGCGCATTGCTGCCTTTCCCCGCCCTTCCCCCCCCCCCCCCCCTTTCTGGCTCAGTACTTGGACAAAGCAGCGCTCTTAGAAATCTCCCATTGGAGAGAAGCTTGAAACGAGACGTGATTAAACGTTGCTTTAATTATTAAAGGAAATAGAATAGCGCGGCGGTCACTTCCAGCCGATGCCTCTTGAATTCCGTGCGTGCCCGGCCGGCCGCAGGCTCCCGGAGCGCAGTGTGGTCTCGCCTGCTCGCCTGATTAAGCTCAGCGTGTGGCCCCATTCATAGCGCCCTGCGGGAGGCGGTGGCGGCCGCTGGGCTGGTGCCTGGCTCCCTCCTCCAGGCCCGGCGCAGGGGGAGCCTCAGCGGGGGCCGTGCGGGCCTGTGCCGTGGCTGCCGCAGCTCCCCCTGCGAAATGCAGCGTGTGAGCTAAGGGTGCATCACGCAGACCGGTTCCGTCTTCTCCGGGGCCGTTGTTGATGAGATCAGAGGTGTGGGGGAGGGCTGTGTGGACGAGCAATAGTGAGGTGGTTCATCAGCCAGATGAGAAAGTCAGCTCAGTCTCGGGGACGAGGAATCTGCATCGCCTCCCGCCAGCCGCAGGGCGCGGGGCGAGAGTGCCCTCTTCCATCCAGGCAGAGGCCGGCCGTGGCTGTTTGTTGTTGGCTTCTTTTTTTCTTTTATTAATGTTTATTGATTTCAGTGAGGAAGAGAGAGAGACAGAGAGAGAGAAACAGAAACCCCATCCATGATGAAAGAGGCATAGATCGGCTGCTTCCTGCACGCCCCACACTGGGGACCAAGCCTGCAACCCGGGCCTGCGCCCTGACGGGGAATTGAACCCCAGCCCCTTGGCTCATAGGTCAACGCTCAAGCACGGAGCCACGCCGGCCGGGCTGCCGTTGGCTTCCTTCCCGCCCCATGTTTTCTCAAGGAGCGCGGTTGGCGCCCGGCCGCTGCTTCAGGAGGACAGAGGCGGGCGGGGGGCGAGCATGGCACCGGCTCCCGGAGGAAGTGCCCCCGCAGCGGGGACTCTGCGCGCTGGGCCTCCCTGTGTTCCCGTGGCCCCGGAGGCCTGAGCCCGGGACTCAGCGGCCGCTCTCGTCCCCTCCCCTCCCCCCCAGATGGAGCGGCAGCGCCTCGCCCGGGAGAAGCAGATGCGGGAGGAGGCCGAGCGCACCCGGGACGAGCTGGAGCGGCGGCTGCTGCAGATGAAGGAGGAAGCGACCATGGCCAACGAGGCGCTGGTGATTGCCCGGGGGGCCGGGCCCCGGGAGGTGGCACGGCGCCCCGCTCGCCCGGCTGGAGCTAGACCTCCCGGGCACCACAAATGAAAGGCACCTGCTGTGACGTTTCAGCTGGAAAAAAACCCACAAAAACCCGGTGCCTTTCCCCCACAGTGTGCTGGCAGCGGCAGGTGCCGGTGGTATCCTCGTTGTTGGAAGTGTTACAGGTGTTACAGCCGGGACACCTGTTTGTTTGCTTGTCCCGTCGGCTCCCTCCACCCAGGCCCGCCCCCGTCCCCCCCCCCCCCCAGGCCTTCCCCACTATTGTCCCCGGGGCTGTGAATAGATGCATCTAAGGTCCCCGGTTCCTGGGGTACCTTTACAGCAGGTCTAACTGGGGCCAGACCGTCCTCGGTGGGGTCTGCCTGTCATTGGAGGACCGTTAGTGGTGTCCCTGGCCTTGATCCATTAGCTGCTGGTCGCACCATCACCCCTCATGGGAGACCATCAAAGTGTCTCCAGACATTGTCAGGTGTCCCCCTGAGGACAGGGTCTCCCCCGGTTTGGAGCTGACTTAAAGGGAAAGGAGAACGGGGTGAAGTTGGTTTTCCCCCTCATCAAGCCTCTGTTCCCCGGGGACTCACCATCAGGCGCCTCCGTGTTGCTGCCCTGGGTGGGACCCCAAAGGCCCTTCTGAGGAGGGGGTGTGGCTTGTTGTCTGTCACCAGGCTGTCATCCGAGGGGACACTGGCAGGACCCCAAGGAATCTGAGACTCTGGTTCTTTTTTTTGCTTAAAAAAAATATATATTTTATTGATTTTGTACAGAGAGAAAGGGAGAGGGAGAGAGAGTTAGAAACATCTGATGAGAGAGAAACATCCATCAGCTGTTTCCTGCACACCCCCTACTGGGTATGTGCCCGCCACCAAGGTACATGGCCTTGACCGGAATTGAACCTGGGACCCGTGAGTCCGCAGGCCGATGCTCTATCCGCTGAGCCAAACTGGTTCAGCGAGCGACCCGGGGGTCTGGGCTCAGACCTGGTGGGGGACGGGCAGGGTCCGCCACTGACGCCCGCTCCCGGCGCCTCCCCCCAGATGCGGTCGGAGGAGACGGCCGACCTGCTGGCGGAGAAGGCCCAGATCACCGAGGAGGAGGCGAAGCTGCTGGCGCAGAAGGCTGCCGAGGCCGAGCAGGAGATGCAGCGCATCAAGGCCACGGCCATCCGGACGGAGGAGGAGAAGCGGGTGATGGAGCAGAAGGTGCTGGAGGCTGAGGTGCTGGCACTGAAGATGGCCGAGGAGTCCGAGAGGAGGTGAGGGGCGGACGGGGCAGGGCCTGGGGGGACTGGGCACTGGGTCCTCACCTGCCCCCCTGAGGCAGCGCTGACTGCAGCCGTCCTCGGGCTGCTTCCCTGTCTGGCGGGGACGGGCTCCTCGGGATTAACCCGGGTCCCTCCTCCCCAGGGGGAAAGGGGGGGAGGGGTCCTTTCCTCACCTTCTGGGGGGTGACCGCTCCTCCTTTCCCTGCAGGGCCAAGGAGGCCGATCAGCTGAAGCAGGACCTGCAGGAGGCCCGCGAGGCGGAGCGAAGAGCCAAGCAAAAGCTCCAGGAAATCACCAAGCCCATGTACCCGGTGAGCCTGGGGGCGCCGAGGGGCCAGAACTGGGGGCGCCCAGACCCAGGAACCTTCCCTCCCGCCCAGCCCTTGGCTTCACCGGGCGGTGCCTGCAGAGCAGGGGTGCAGAGCCTATGGGGGTGGTGGTCTGGGCAGGACCCCTGGGCTGCCATTTGGCCTTGGGCTCATCAGGCACCTCTCTGGCTGCCAAGATAGCAACCAGGAGGGCCTTTCACAGCTCGGAAGTGTTCTTATTCCAAGTATATAGTCCCACATTGCCCTCGGGAGACCTGGCTCTCCAGCCTCAGCACCAAACTGGACGTCACCTTCAACGGCCAGGATGTTCTCTGCACCGGGAGCCTGGTCCTGGGCAGGGAAACCCTGTGTCTCTCAGGTGACCTGTTGCCGTGTGAGACCCGGCCTCCAGGAACAGCCTCCTGGCTCCATTTGGGACAGGGAGGCAGCCTGCAATTCTGTTGGTTTATTTGTTTATTTATTACTGATTACAGAGAGGAAGGGAGAGAGAGAGAGAGAGAGAGAGAAACATTCATGATGAGAGACTCACTGATTGGCTGCCTCCTGCACACTCCCCTCCGGGGATGGAGCCCACAATCCCGGGCGTCCTGTGCCCTGACCAGGAATCGAACCGTGACCTCCTGGTTCCTAGGTTGTCGTTCAACCCCTGAGCCATGCCAGCCAGGGCGGGGTGTGTGAAACACACACGGGAGCAGACTTTATACCCGGCTCTAATAATAAACACATAAACCCCGAGGAGGTGCGCATATCAGCTTTTTAATCATAATTTGTTGTACGGATTGTGCATCCACCCGGTCAGTCCCCAGCGAATGGGTGCACAGTCTGTTTTCCTTTTCAATGATGAACAGAAACTGCAGGGAACATCCCTGAGCGCAAATATCGGCGCGCACGCGTGGGTGAATGGAGTCGGAGAAGACGGCAGCGGCAGGAGGCTGTGACGGGGCCCGGAGGCGGGGCCCCCCCGCCGTGGCTGCCCGGGGGGCGGGGGGCAGGGGGCAGGGGCGGGTGGTTGGCACAGCAGTGCCCTCTGCTCTGGTGGAACCCGGCCCTCCTAACTGGAGCTTTTCACTTCTAGCCCATCAACCCGCTTCCAGCGCCACTGCCTCCTGACATGTCAAGCTTCAGCCTCATCGGTGACAGCCTGTCTTTCGACTTCAAGGATACTGACATGAAGCGGCTTTCCATGGAAATAGAGAAAGAAAAGTACGTGGTGTCCCCTTCCCCGGAGCGAGCTGGCCGGGGCCCCGGGGGAGGAGCGGGCAGCTCTGACCTCACTCGCCGCCTAGAGGGAGAATTTCCTAATCAGAAACGAAGGAAGACAGGCCGGCATTCCATCTCCCAGGATAAGGATGTGTCTCTATTGGTAGCCTGGGGATTACAGTGGCTCAGACCCTCACCTAACATGTGGGGCGTGCTACCAGAGACCTCCGAGCCGGCCAGAGAGCTGTTCCCATGGCAACCGAGGGTGTGATAATGTGCCGGACGTGGCAATGACACCCGTTTCCTGGCTGTGTTCTCTGGCGGCTCCAATCTGTGGCGTTCCGTATTTGTTTTTGTGTTTTTTTAAAAAAAACATTTTTATTGATTTTAGAGAGGAAGGGAGGTAGAGAGATGATGAAAGAGAATCCTGGATCGGCTGCCTCCTGCGTGCCCCGCCCTGGAGATTGAGCCTGCACCCCGGGCACGTGCCCTGACCCCGGGAAATGAACCGTGACCTCCTGGTTCCTAGGTCGACCCCCACCCACCGAGCCACGCCAGTGGGGCTCCTGCACTTTCTTTCGTTTAATTCTGACCACAGCCCTGCGATCTTTAGCCCACTGTTGTGTTCGAGGAAACAGATTCAGGCCAGTTCAGTGACTGGCCCAGGCCCCCCGTGGCCTGTGCGTGGCCAAGGAGAGCCGTGGGCTGCCTCCCGCCCCTCCCGGGCTTCAGAGCCCGGGCCCCGTCTCAACCCTAGCCTCCCCGCAGAGTGGAGTACATGGAGAAGAGCAAGCACCTGCAGGAGCAGCTCAACGAGCTCAAGACCGAGATCGAGGCCCTGAAACTCAAAGAGAGGGAGACGGCCCTGGACATCCTGCACAACGAGAACGCCGACCGCGGCGGCACCAGCAGCAAGCACAACACCATCAAGAAGGTAGCGGCCCCGCCTCCCGCCTCCCGCCCGGGGGGTGGGCGCTCGTGAAACGCGGGGTCAGCGTCTGGCGTCCTCCGTAGCGAGTCATTAGGCTCCTGTCATGTTGACTGTGTCCTCGGTGCCTAACCGGGAACCTTAATCCGCCAGAGACTGCGCACCCGCGGGCCGGGAGGGAGGGGAGTGGGGAGGAGGGCCTTCTCACACGGGCATTTCCCGGTGAGATGAGTCACTGTGGCCGCCCGGGTTCCGATCCGGCACTTGGCAGGAGAGCCGCCCTGTCCTTTAAGCCGAGGCGAGTGCTGCCCAGGGAGCTGCCGGCTTTAATGAGAAAGCAAGAACGAAATGGAGAGGCTCCCTCCAGCATGTGTGTGTGTGTGTGTGTGTGTGTGTGTGTGTGTGTGAAAGTGGAAGGGCCATAAAGCTCTGTTCTTGATTCAGAAGCCAGAGGCGGGATTTTTAACTTGGCTCACGCTCACCGGGGAGTCGAGGAGAACCTTCATGTTCTGAGAGCGGAAGCTTCATTTACGTCGCTAACAGTTCCACGTCTTTCTCCCCTGGTAGTCTGAGCTGTGAGCGTTTTAGAGGACGCTGATTTCCATCCTAAACATCCAGCCCGAGAGTGCGCGTCTCTGATGGGCCACGCGGGAGGGTCCTCTCCGGGCCCTGATGTCTGGTCCTGCCCGAAGCCCAGGGTCAGGTCAGCGCCTGGGAGACAGGCGTCCTCAGGAGGAGGCTGCTCGTGGACTTCAGACGATGATAGTTTAGATCTATTTAATTTTCAAAAAATATATTTTCATTGGTGTCAGAGAGAAAGGGAGAAGGAGAGAGAGAGAGAGAAACATCAGTGATGAGAGAGAACCATGGATCGGCTGCCTCCTGCACACCCCACACTGGGGATCGAGCCCACAGCCCGGGCCTGTGCCCTGACCGGGGATCGAACCGTGACCTCTTGGTTCATAGGTTAACAACTCAACCACTAAGCCATGCCAGACGGGCTAGATAAGTTTAATTTTTTATGTACCCTTTACCTTTAGTCTTTAAGGTGGAATACCAGTTTTCGATGGTTAAGCTGTAGCTGAAAGCAATCCCGGATAGGCACAGTCGGGACCCGGATTCTCGTTCTCTCTCTCTGACTCCAGTTCACATTGGCACCGGGTAGAGCGTTCCTTTTCGTAGTGTAACCCGGAAGGAAAGACCTCCCCGCGTCCCGCATTCTCCTTCCCGCTGGCTTCTGTGCTGACCGCCTTTCCCTCCCAAAGCCAAACTGTGAAGCAGCTAGCAAACGGGAGCTGACGGGAGGCCTCCGCCAGGGCACAGAGACGTCAAATGACTGGGCCGGGGAGCCAGCCAGGCCTCGGAGGAGCTGCCCGGGCCCCTCCCGGTCCCTTCCCCCTCCACCCCCCCCACTCGCTCATCTGGGCACCAGCCACAGGGACCCGGGGCGCTGGAGGCTGGGGAGACCCAGTCCCAAGCCATGAAAGCAAACCAGTGAAGTCACACGTGTCACCCCGCCAGGCGCGTCTGATCGTGTTTTGCAAACGGCACGTGCGGTGCTGTGGGTGCCATAGGGTTGTTATGTTTTTGTTTTATTTTGCTGGTTTAGCCTCAAGCCCAAGGCAGAAGACCTATCTGCATTTGAGCCTCCAAGTAGGTTGTCCGCAGGTACTCTGTGTTGGTGGCGGCCCCGCCCTCTGTGATACTAACCGTGCATGAGCTTGCCCGCCCGTCTCTGTCCGCAGCCCGCGCCCAGCCCTCCCGGGGCACGGGGCGTGGGCGCCGGCCACAGCATGCTGAGTCAGAGCAGGCGGCCAGCCCCGCCTCCGGGGCTCCCCGAGGCTGCCTCGTTGGGAAGAGCATGTCGATGGGGCTGCAGGCCCGGTGGTCCTTACGTCTTGTGTCACTGTGGGTCTGGAGACGGTCACCGCTTCTTGTCCAGTCAGGTCTGTCTGAGTCTTGTGTGTTGGTGGCGTACCTCTTAGCTGATAGCCCCAGCATGGAAACACGGGGTACGTGCGGGGGTGTTCAGGACTGGCGCCCTTTGACCCCAAGATCCAGGCCTTCCGCGCGGTGACAGCCCCTGCGGACACGTGGCCTCACCGGGTCTCGGGGTGAGAGGGCGGCCCGCGCCCGCTCCTTTCCCTCCGAGCCTCCCTCTCCGGCACGTCCGTGTTTCTTGCCAAGCGAAGCGAAGCGAACGGATGGCACAGGGCCTGCTGGGTAGTCCGTCCCGGGGGACATCTGTCTGTCAGCGCTCTAAAGGCCATCCCGCCTCCGCTCCTCCTGTGATCGCAGGGAGCCCGCCCGGGGACGGTGCCGGGGCGGGCAGCCCCGCGGCCAGGCGGGCAGTGGCCGTCGGGGGAATTCATCCAACGATCGCCGCTTCCTCCCGCAGGGGAGTGTGTGCTGCCGGGCGCCCCCGCGTGTGTGAGAACTCATTGAAAAGCACCCTGCCGCCCCCGCCACCGCCCTCACCTAACCCCCTGGTTCCCAGGGAGGTCGCCCACCTCGGGGCCGTGTCCTTTGGCATCCCCGCCGTTTCTACTGCGAGAAGAACACAAGCTCATTGGAAGCCTTCTACTGAAAACAGATCTGGCGTCCACAGCCCAGTTTGCGGTTGTTATCCGCCCAGGGAGGTTAGCTGTTAACGGCCCAGATGGGTCTCATTATAAGATGGATGCGAGCTGTCGGGGGCTCCCAGAACCCCTGGCATACACCCCGGTTTGCATGTGACGCTTTTATTCAGCGGCCTCCTGTCTCCCGCAGCTCTCAGCCCCCACGTGGGCACTGGGAAACCCCAACACGGGGCAGCACACGCTCCGAGCAGGGGTGACCAGCCCTGGAACGGGCAGGCCAGGGGGCTCATCGGCCCAAGTGACCCCCCCCCCCCCAGCACCCAGAGGACCCCGGAAGGGACCAACGTTGGTTTCCTGGACCGTGCCTAGCACAGGGCAAAGCAAAAAAAAAAAAAAATCCTTTAATTTCAGCCCGTGCTGTCAGATGTGCCTGCGTGTTCCGCCATGATGCAATTTCCTCTCTCCTCTCTAACGATCCGAGCGTTTAACGTCTTCAAGGGGCCTGCTTCTGACCGTCCGTTCTCGCTGAGCTATTATTGTAGACAAATGAGGTTTGATTTGTAGTCAGATTCGGACTGCTGCTAGGGCATACAGAAGCCTTTTTTTTTGTTTTAATGTCTTAATGTGAACTTGTTTTCACAGCAGGCTGCCAGTCTGTCAAGAATTCTGATGAGTCCAGGGTTCCACACGCATAGACGTGGCTTTTAATTTAATATATTTTATTGATTTTTATTTATTTATTTATTTATTTATTTATTTATTTATTTATTTATTTATTTATTTTAACAGGGAGAGGGATGGAGAGTTAGAAACATGGATGAGAGAGAAATATCCATCAGCTGCCTCCCACCCTCCCCCTGCTGGGGATGTGCCCGCAACCAAGGTACATGCCCTTGACCGGAATCGAACCTTCAGTCCACAGGCCGACGCTCTATCCATGGAGCCAAGCCGGTTAGGGCTAGACTTGGCTTTTAATACAATTGGAGTTATCCCGGCCTCATCGGATTCAGTAGTGCTAGTTTTTTGGCTTTGTGTGACATCGGATGTACGTTCCGTGTTTTAGACTCCGGTGGTCCCCGGGGCCAGGACTGCACGGCCAGGCGGCTGGCTGCCTGCCTGTGTGCGGGGCTGACCTCTGAACCAGGAGGTCACGGTTTGATTCCCAGTCAGGGCACAGGCCTGGGTTGTGGGCTCAGTCCCGGAAGAGGGTGGGGGGGGAGACAGAGAAGTCTACAATGTCCTCTTCAGTTTGCACGGACTTCCTTGGAGAGGCAGAGCTGCGGGGGGACACACTTAGAACCCACACCCGGGGAGGTGATAAATCGCAGGTGAAAGCCAGCGCGTGAAAGGCGACCCCGCAGTTACGGCCCCACCTCCCCGGTGACCGCGGCACGGCATGGCCGCTAATGTGTCCGCGGCCCCGGCCCCAGTGCGGGGAGCCAGGCGCTCTGCCTGCTGGGGGACCGGGGCCCTGTCCCCGCGCATCCTCCGCCCGACAGGAAGCCTGTCTCCAGAGCCTTCCCTTTGCGGTTGGAGCTCCGCAGAGGGGGAGGAGGAGGAGGAGGAGGAGGAGAGAGGGGAATGGGGCCCTGCCTCTCCCCCCGACCCCCACTGCCCCTTCCCCCTAAGCCCTAAGGGACCCCAGGATGCTGGAACCAGGGCCGCCCTGGGGGCAGTTCGTCCCAGACAAAGCCCACCCTGCGCCCACGGCCCTTTCCTCTGACTGTGTGAGCCAGAGCGCCCCCCGGCTCATTCCCGCCCTTCCTTGTCTCATTCTCTTCACAGTAAAGAGAAAGGGGGAGGGAGTGGGGCATGAGGCCCGGTGTGGACAGAGGACAGGCGGTGAGCGGGCAGCGGGTGCAGCGGGTGACCGGACACCTGGCTCCGCGGGCGGCCGGGGAAGGCGCGGGCTGGGGGTGACCGGCCCCTGGCTCGTCCCTGGAGGCCACTCGGGCCTCCCGGTCACTGCTGAGGGCCGGCGGTCTCCTGGCATGTTTGTGGCGGCGCTCTAGTTTGTTCTCCTGCCTTAATGGTGGAGCTTTCTCTCTCTCTCTCTCTCTCTCTCTCTCTCTCTCTCTCTCTCTCGTCACTGCTAGAAGGTTCCCCAGCCTCTTCTCCAGAAGGAGAGGCTCAGGCCATTTTGGGTCGGGAGACGTTAGCTTCGGGGACCTTGAGGAGCCCGGAGAGCCTGCCTCGCCCTCCGGGAGCTGTTACAGCCGCTCAGTGCAGCAGCAGCTCCCGTGGGCCCTCCGCACCGGAGATGCGGCTCGGCGCGGCTCTCCTCCCGGTCACGGCGGCGGCCGGCGGGGGAGCGGAGGGGGAGAAGGCCAGGGAAGCAGCAGAGGGTCCTGCCCACATCCAGGCCTCTTCCTGGCCCTCAGGATGCACCCGCAAAAGGGGCCCTCTGGCTTCTCCCTGGCAGCCTCCTCTGTCTGTCTGTCTATCTCTCTCTCTCTCTTTTTTTCTCGCTCTCTCTCTGGATATGCTCATTGGAATGGCCCAGGCCTTTCCTGCCACCTCTGTGTAGGGCTCTCCCCGAGCACATCCCCGGATGGCATTTGGGTGCAGCTGTCACTGGCGAGCCGGCAGAGCAGCTTGGTCTGGCCCGTTTGCAGCAGCAGCTACCGCCTTCGCTGGCCCTGCACCATCGGCCTGGCTCCGGTTTGGAAGGCGGGAGGGGGGCTAAGGGGGGTGTCAGGCCCCAGATCAAAGGTGCTGCTGGGAGTCGCTGCTGCTGGATTTGCCAGCTCCTTTCCGCCCAGAGCCAGCTCTCACCCCACGGATCTGAGCTTCCTTTCCCATCCCCTCCGCCCTGCCCTCCCTCCGTTCCCATGCACAGGGGGTGAGCGCAGCGGGGGAAGCATCGCAGGGTTTTTAGGGCTCGAGTTTCCGTTTCACAGCGTTTTTATGGGACACGCAGAGCCCCAGCGCCAGGAGCGATTCCGTCAGTGTCTCATGGGTTCGGCCTCGTGGGTGTCATTGTTTCACGTGGATTCGACAGGCCCCTCCCCTCCTCTCTCTTCCCCGGGACAGGGGATCCAGGCGAGGCCCCCGGGGACTAGACTAGCTGGAGGAATCCTGATGAGTTTGTTCTCCTGGCTTAATGGTGGAGCTTTCTCTCTCTCTCTCTCTCTCTCTGTCTCTCTCTCTCTGTCTCTCTCTCTCTCTCTGTCTCTCTCTCTCTCTCTCTCTCTCTCTCTCTCTCTCTCTCTCTCTCTCTCTCGTCACTGCTAGCCCAAATGGCTCTGTGTCCTGCCCCCCCCACGCCGCCTCCCCTTTGCCTAAAGAGCCATTTATCACCACGCGTCCTGTGAACCCCGTATGTGTGCTGATGAAAGTGTAATTCGTTCCTAATCAGGCAGCCTAACCCCCCCCTCCCCGCTGTGTCCTCCCGGCAAGGGGCACTCTAGGGGCTGATGCTGGAGGAGCCTTTGCAGCTGCGGGGAGAGGGGAGCCGGGAGCCGGGCGGGACAGGTGGGCCTGCAGCTTCTGTCTCAGACCCTGGGCCCATGTCTCAGGAGCGGCCAGTGCGCGCCCTCGTGCCTGGGGGCTGCCTGCGATCCCCGGGGAGCAGGAGCCGGGGAGCAGGAGCCGGTGCCTCTGCGCATTTCCTGCGCCCGGTGTCATGGAGAACCTGCTGGGTACCAGGCTCCTCCCCGGGTTCAGAGGAGCCGGCCTCCTCCTCCTCCCCCCCCTTCTCCTCCTCTTTCTTCATCCTCACCCGAGGACATTTTTCCATTGATTTGTAGAGAGAGTGGAAGGGAGAGGGAGAGCCAGAGAAACATCGATGTGAGAGAGACACTTTGATGGGTCGCCTCCTGCATGGCACCCCGACCAGGGCCAGGGGAACCTGCAACCCAGGTTCGTGCCCTTGTTCAGCATGGAACCCGGGACCCTTCCACCCGCAGGCCCGACGCTCCATCCACTGGGCCACACTGGCCAGGGCCCAGCCTCCTCTTTAAGGAGACACATGTGCCCCCCCCCCCGAAGGTGGGCTCGCTCAGAGTCGGGGGACGTGCCTGCGTGGCGGGGAGCTGAGTGGGAGGCGCGGTGACTCTGTGGGTCCCGCCCGGCAGGCGGGTGGATCGAGCCCCCGCGGGTACCACCAGGCCGCGCCGCGGTGCAGCGGGGCCGGAGGAGGAGGGGCCTCCTCGGGAGGGAATCGGATGAGTGACGGACGGGAGCAGCGGCTCGGTCGAGAGAGAACTTAATTCCTCCCGCGTTCCGCACGCGGCCTCTTCAGTCAGATCAGATCCGGGAGACGGCGGGCGGGCGGGCGGCGTCTGCGGAGACGCGTGTTCCTCCCTCCGCCAGGGAGGGCGCAGGGCCCGTGGGTGCATCGCTGCCCACAGAGCTGGAGTGGCGAGGGCAGCGTGGCCGGCCCGCCTGGGTTCCGTCGTGGGCAGCGTGGCAGGTGGGGAGGACACAGGCTCCAGCGTGGCTCCGTGGCTGAGCGTCGACCTCTGACCCTGGAGGTCACACTGACCCCCGCTCAGGGCACAGGCCCGGGTTGCGGGCTCGATCCCCAGTGTGGGGCGTGCAGGAAGCAGCCCATCTGTGATTCTCTCTCCTCATTGGTGTTTCTCTCTCTCTCTCCCTCTTCCTTTCTCTCTAAAATCAATACCCAACACAGATGTGGGCTCGTATTCCTTACGGCGTGAGGGCTGGCGGGCAGAGCGGAACGCCGTCAGCCAGTTCCCGTGATTGTAAAGAAGGCCACAGGGCCCTGGCCGGTTTGGCTCAGTGGATAGACCACCGGCCTGTGGACTGAAGGGTTCCGGGTTCCATTCTGGCCATGGGCACATGCCCAGGTTGCAGGCTTGATGATCCCCAGCAGGGAGCATGCTGGAGGCAGCTGATCAATGATTCTCTCTCATCGTTGATGCTGTTAACTCTCTCTCCCTCTCCCTTCCTCTCTGAAATCAATATTTTAAAAGAGCCGCAGGGAACGTTTCCTTTACGGAGAGCTGGCTGAGTGCCATTCCCGCTGAGCCTCTCCCTTCTCTCACGGAGGCCTCCTGCCTGTATGTGTGACACTCAGTGAGCTTTCTGGAAAGAGCAGGGGGCGAAGGATCTCACGGGTGAGGAGAGCGGGCCCAGGGGAGGCGGAGGCTGAGCTGGCAGACGCTGCCCGCTGTGCCCAAACCTCCCTGCCCTGGGCCTCCGTGTCCCCACCTGGACCAGAGCCGCCTCCCTGCTGACCCTCCACCGCCCCCCTCCCTCCCTCCTCCCTCCCTCTCTCCCTCCCTCTCTCCCTCCCCCCCTGCTGTCCGTGTGAGAGCAGACGCGGGGAGGCAGCGGCCCGGGAGGAGGCCATGTTCACGGCCGCCGAGGGGAAGCAGCACCGGCCGAGGCCGGGATGGGGAAGGCTCGGGGGCAGCGAGCGGGCGGCTCCTGCAGTCATTCCCTCCGACAGCAGTTCCTGGTGGGATTGTGCGATCAGGGCGAGGACGGGGCCGTGGCCGGCAGCCAGGTCTCCCGTGGGCAGAGGCAGGCGGCTCCCAGGACCCGCGGCGACAGCAGCCACGCCGGCGCCCGTGCCCTGGCTCTGCCGGGACCCCTGCCAGGCTGGTGCCGGGGAAGACTGCGCTCCTCTCTCCGAGCCCGTGTGTCTGCGGCCCAAGGACCTGACTCGCTCCGCGCCTTCCTCGGGCTGAGCCACCGCTTCCTTTTTTGTTAAACTGATCTCAGAGAGGAAGGGAGCGGGAGAGAGAGAGAATCATCAGTGATGAGAGAGAACCATCGACCAGCTGCCTCCTGCACCCCCTCTGCTCCTCCCCGCACTGGGGATGGAGCCCACAGCCCGGGCCTGTGCCCTGACCGGGAATCAAAACTGTGACGCTCAACCACTGAGCCACACCAGCCGGGCTCGGGGACAGCTTCTGCTCCTGCAAGATAAGAGGGAGGCTGGGCCACCGCCCTGCGTGTGGGGTGGGGACTGGCACCGGCCCCCCTCCCCTCCCCCCGAAGAGGGCTTGGCATCCCAGCGAACACATGCAAGTCACTGGCATTTGGTGCGGCCAGAGCTGCCAACCCTCCCCTGGCACCTCGTGGGGCCGGCCACACTCAGCTTGGGGAGAAGATCCAGGAATTCTTGGAGCCAGCGTCGTACATGTGGGCCCGAGGCCTGCGGGGACCCCCAGAGCCTGGGCTCCCTGCCTGGGAAGCAGCCAGGCCTCTGGGGGCACCCACAGGCCACGAGGGCCAGCGCAGCCCTGCCTTCCCCGGCACCTTCTCCCGCCCTGCCTTTGCCCCGCTCCCCGCTGGAGGGAGAGGAGCCAGAGCTGGGGAGGGGAGCGGGGAACGTGACGCTGCTGTCAGTGGTAACAGCTGTTGAGCTCTGCTGTGCGCCGGCACGGTGCTGAGCGCTTCCCAGCAATCCCCAGCTACTCCACACGTTCCCCAGCTACTCCACACGGTCTGAGCAGGGCCCGGAGCCTGATGCTCCTGTTTTGGGGGAGATCCTGGGACGTGGTCCACAGCCACAGAGTCAGGGAGCCGGGGTTCAGCAGCGCAGGGCGTCGCCAGCTCCAGTTTCTCCTGGGGAGGCACTCAGAGTGTCCAGGCGGAGCACAGGGCAAACCAGCCCCGTCCAGGCTGTGTGGACCCTCCGCTGCCCGGTCCGCGTGAGCCTGCTCTGGGAGCCGGGAGGGAGGGACAAGCCCTTGCTCCTCCTGCCTTAGGCCGTCCCCTCGCCCAGCAGGTCCCCCGGGATGGGGGGGGGGAGCCCCCAGCCTGACACCGGGCAGGCGGCACCCACAGGGCCCGGAGACTCGGGGACGGGGACCCCTGCCCTCTGGAAAGGCGACGCGGCTGTCATGTTCCGCTGGCATGCTTCCGCCCCCGCCACCCCGGCATGTCCTCCCGTGTCACCTCCTCGTTCGAGTTCTGGGGGCCCATCCTGAGCCATGTCTGGGATTGCCCCCCCCAACGTCTGTCTGAACCCCCTTCCCGTCCCCTCCAGCCGCCTCGGAGGCCCCCCCCTCCCCCCCCCCCCGCAGGCAGCCGGCTCCCCCTCAGCGTCTCCTCTGCTTCCTTGCAGCTCACCCTGCAGAGCGCCAAGTCCCGCGTGGCCTTCTTCGAGGAACTCTAGGGGGCCGCGCCCCGGGATCTGCCGCCGCCGCCGCCGCCCCTGGCCCAGCCCACGGCCCGCCGCCCGGAGCCGGAGCCGCCCGGGGCCGGAGCCAGTGCCGGGCTGGGACCTCTCCCCCGTCTCGAGTGCAATGGCCTGAGCTGTGACCCTGCGGGGCCCCTCCCGCGGGGCCGGTTCTCCCCACCTAAGTCTTTGGATGTCTTTCCTGGTCTCAGCGTGTGTGACCCCCAATTCCTGCATCAGAGGCCCCTGGGGGAGGGGGAGGGGGGAGGGGTCGCTGCCCTGCTGCCCTGCTGCCCGGCCTGGCCCTGCTGGGAAGGGGGTGAAGGGCGTGAGGTGCACAGGCCCCTGGAGGCCAGGAGGCTGGTGCCCCCCCCCCCCCCTGCTTTCCAGAACACTCCTCTCCTTTCCTCCCCGCGGAGGAGCGGGCCTGCCCGGCTTGCCCACAGCCAGGACGAGCCAAGCGATGGGTCCTTAGCCCGGCCCCGCCCGGCGGCGCTCTGGCTGCCAGGGCAGGGGCGGGCATGGCCACCGTGACTGGGGAAGACGGTGTAGGAACCTGCCCCGTACACTCCACCCACTGCCTCCTCTGCTCGCCCAAACCAGGGTCCCAGGGGCAGGCGGGGGCTCAGGTCCTTTCACCCCCTTTGGCCTCAGCCCCTTCCACGCTCTGGCCGACACCTGGTACCCCGCCATGCCTGGGGGCCCCCAGAAGGCTCGGAGGCCCCACACACACACACCGCTCATGGCCCAGCCTGCCAGCAGGCCCCTCCCAACCCATCGTTGTGCCCAGGCCCTTTATTTCCTCTTCCCTTGTGGGCCCTCAGGGGTCCCTGTGCCCCGCCAGGGCGAGCCGGCACTGACCACCGGGGCCCTCCCTGGCTCCCTGGTTTGGGGCCACTTTTGTGCCCTTTCGTTTCTCCATCCCTTGGTGCTGCTGTGACCCACGGGCGGGCGGACCCTCCCGGGGCTGTTGGGCAGAGCAGGCGGCAGCCTTAGCCAGGGCACAGGCATCTGCTAGCGGCCGGGAGAAGCCTAGGGGCGGCCGCGGGCACCGTGGTCTCCCACCCGCCCGTGTCATCTGAGACGGGGCAGCCTGCTCCCCACAGTCAGGCCGGCCCCACAGTGCCCCCGGCTGGATGCCACCTTCCCGGCCCCCGTCTTACCGCCCTCAGGGCACCGGGTGGGACTCGGCGTCCGCGCACGTCTGAGGGGAGGCCTGGCTCTTGCGAGCGGCTCTCCTCCGGCTCAGCCCCCGCCCCTGCCTTCCCAGCAGTCCCTGCCCTCCTCACCTGTGGCCTCACCCCTCCACGGTGGCGGGGCCCAGAGCAGGCAGGTCCATAAAGACACCAGGCTTCTGTCACTGCCCTTACCTGCCCAGGATCTGTCCGAAGCCTGGGCCGGGCCCAGCTCTGCGGCCCCCGGGGAGCCGGCCGGTGTCTGAGCCGTGGCTCGGGGAGCAGCTGGGCCAGGAGCACCCAGGCTGGCCTCGAGGTGAGCTGGCTGCACCTCGCAGACGGCCAGGCAGAGGGGTGGCGGCCCGCGGGAAGGAGCGGGCGGAGAGCGGGGCTCGGCTTTCAGAAAGTGCGCCCGTGTTCTCTCCAAGCGCCCACGGGGAGGGTGGGCGCATCCCCAGGAAGGAGCCCGGACTCCCACGGAGAGCCGGCCCGGCCCGTGACTCCGGCCTGGTGGCCGCACCGCCCGCACCCAGCTGTGTGGCAGCCCACCGGCGCCCTGAGGCCTCGCCCGCCACGGCCACCTCTGACAGGGTATCGACTCCGTTATTCCCGCCCCGCCAGGCCCGGCTGGACAACGCCCGGGCATCACGTGGCACTCCTTCAGTGGCTGTGTTTTGTGGTCTGGGGGGCAAGCCTCTCTCTTCCAAATCAAAACGGCAAGCCCAGAGGCCAATGACCGTGGACGTGACGCTGTGCTGCTCGCCCCCGGGGCTGGAGCCTGGCTGCCCTGGGCCAGGCCGAGGTGTCCAGGGGACCGCGCCCCTTTTCACAGACGCCAGACCCCGGAAGACTCTTCTGTGTTTGGGAGACTGTAATTTAAATGATTGTTTTAATAAAAATTCTAAGCTGCCGCACGTTTGTCTCCAAAGGGCTTCCTCCCTTTGCTGGCTGCTCAGGCCCGGGGCGGTGGCCAGACCACTGGGCTCAGTGATGCCTCTTGGGTTTTTGTTTGTCTGTTTAATATGTTTTTATTGATTTCAGAGAGGGAGAGAGAAGCATCAGGGATGAGAGAGAATCATGGATTGGCTGCCTCCTGCATGCCCCACCCTGGGGATGGAGCCCACAACCCGGGCAGGTGCCCTTCTGGGAATCGAACCCTGACCTCCTGGTTCCTAGGTTGACGCTCAACCCCTGAGCCACGCCGCCGGGCGCCTCTCGGGTTTTGAAGAAGCGGGGCCTCCACCCTCCCTGCCTGCCCAGGGCTTCAGCTCAGCCCCCGTCTCTGTGGGAAAGGGTCCACCTTCCCTGGGAGCCTCCCCACCCTCTTCCCGGGGGGGGGGCACCCCTCTCCACACCCACCACCGTCCTCAGCTCCAGACCTGCAGGCGCTCTGCTTCCGGGTCCCCATCTGGGCCCTGGAGCGGGGGTGGGGGTGGGGATGGCGTTCTTGGAGCCGTTGGGGCTGGCTCTGTCTGCCGGATGGACAAGGCCCAGCCGCTGTCACCGGGCCACACGTTGGTGCTTAAGGTTGGCAGCTAACTACGTGCTGCAGCGCTTGGGGTTTTTGTCTCGTTTCCCTCTTTGTAATCAATGACAGTCCTTCATGGCGGCAGGAGGGCTGTAGGATGCCCCGATCCCAGGCCCCACACGTGTTCTCGAAGCTGCTCGGGGACCACAGTGCCGCCAGCCACGCGGCAGAATGCACGTCAGGGCTCTGAGGAGAGCCACCAACAGGCACACACATTCCCAAGAGTTCGAGCTGGGTCTGCAGTGTGTATGTCTTTGGAAAGACCATGTTTGAAGTAAGATAACTTTATCAAGCTGGTGAACAACAATATTGTGTAATTGTACGCATTTAGAACTAGTAACCAATTAGGCCATTTAAAAATATATATATTTTATTGATTTTTTTTTATAGAGAGGAAGAGAGAGGGATAGAGAGTCAGAAACATTTTGAAACATTAATGAGAGAGAAACATCGATCAGCTGCCTCCTGCACACCCCCCACTGGGGATGTGCCCGCAACCAATGTACATGCCCTTGTCGGGAACCGAACCTGGGACCCTTCAGTCTGCAGGCCGACTGACGCTGTATCCACTGAGCCAAACCGGCCAGGGCCTCTCGCCTTTCGTTAAGCCTTGACCCATTCAAGGAAGAGCCCAGAATCGCCACGGACAAAAGCTGTGTGCTCTTTGCCATTTCTAGTTGTCTTTCTCCCCCTTTGCGATCTCACCCAAGGGGTTTTCCTGGCTTTGAATCTTGTTTATTTCAATTTAAAATCATATTAGAGAGGGTGGGAGAGGCCTAGCTCACCAGCAACTTCGAGGGAGGCAGCTGGGCCGGGCATCAGCCTCATGGCCAGACACGCACGCACGCACACACACACACACACACACTCTCACTCGCGGACCCGCGCTGACTCAGGAACCCCACGGCGTCCTCACCCGGTTTCCACTCGATGCCCATGTCTCCCCGGGATGCTCGCCCCAGAATAGCTCCTGGCAGGCTGCCCGGGAGCCTAGGAAACCGAGGCGTCTCCTTGATCCCGCAGCCCGCTGAGCTGCACGCCCGCTCTGTGCCAGCCCTTCCCTGCAGGGCCAGGCGCGCGGCTCCCCGCAGCCTCCGGGCGCTCCCGTCTGGAAAGAGGGCTGCCCGAGGTGCCCGCGGGCACCTCCGGACGGTGTCAGGGTCACACGAAGAGCAGGTGCAAAAACCACTCGATTCCTGTGACAAAAGGGGCGAGGAGAGGCGGTAGCGTTACTTACAAGTGGTAAAAGCAGCAGCATGCGCGGGGACACACAGGGTCCCTTCTTCCGCACCCCGCTGGGGGGTGGGGGCTGAGGAGCCCACACGGCTGCCGTGGAGCCCCGAGAGCCCTGGGTTCAAGGCCCGGCTCAGCCACTTGCCGGCCGGTGAGCAAGTTACCTAAGCTTTGGGCCCAGCAGTGTCTTCATCTAACAGGGGCGATCAGCCCTGGCTGGGGTGGCTCAGTGGATAGGGCGTTGGCCTGGGGACTGAAGGGTCCCAGGGTTCCATTCCTTACGGTCAAGGGCACATGACCGGTTTCGGACTCCATCCCCAGGGTGGGGCGTGCCAGGAGGCCACCGATCCCTGATTCTCTCTCGTCATCGATATTTTCTTTTTCTCTCCCTCTCCCTTCCTCTCCAAAATCAATAAAAAATATATACATATTCGGTGAGGACAATTATGTGATCCCATAATCAATAAAATTAAACAAAAAAAACACCAACTCATTGGCACTGAAGTATAAATGTAACCAGTATCCACCTCGTTTCTCTGATTTTTTAACATGATTTTCCTGGCATTAATGTGTTACAGAAAAAAAAAATTTTTTCCCAAAATAAATAAAAGGGGTTTTCTCGGGTGTTGTGGGGGTGCAGAATGCCGGGTCTGAGGAGGGTGGCTCTTCGGGGTGCTTCCTCGGGATGGGGGGGCGTGCAGGGAACACAGCAGGGTGACCCAGAGGAAGGCCTGGCTCAGAGGGACCCGCTCACCTGTGCGGGCCCCACCTGCCACCTGGGCCCGGAGTTTACCGAGCCGCCCGGCCTGTTGGTCCTGCGTGTTTGCCCAGTGCCAGCTGCCTGGCCGGGAGGTGATGGATCGCCCCTCGGGGCTGCCGGGAAGGAGGCTCCGGGTTGTCACATTAGCGCTCGCCGCTCCGGTCGATAATGGACTGGAGGCTCCGGACAGGAGAGGGGCCGGGGCCGCCCTGGACGCTGCCCCTGGAGCTCTGCCCAGAGCACCTGGGCCGGCAGAGCCCACGGTGGGCACCGGGGAGGCACCGGCGACCTCATTCTCTCC